AGCAGGTGAAGACATGGTAAGAAACACTCTCTTTTCTAATGACTACAGAAAGACCACAAAAATACAGAGCAAAGAGGGCATTAATTATGATATTACCTTCATTCATTCCACGTTCATGAATCTCATCCACAATAACATGAGTAACACCTTGCAGATTTCTGTCAACAAGTAGTCTCCTCAAAAGAATGCCAGTAGTGCAAAACAGAAGGCGAGTATCTCTTCCTTTCATTCCCTCAAGCCTAACTTTATAACCAACCTTAAAAATGATGAACCAGCAAATAGAAGAGAGTTACCAATGAAATCCCAGGATAAACTACTTAAATTAAACACCAGAATGTCCAAAGAGCTCACAGAGTCTCCTAAATTCTCCCCTCTTTCTGCAGCAACTCTTTCAGCAACAGCCATTGCAGAGATTCGTCTAGGCTGGGTACAAATAATACTGCAAAAAGCCCCACGACTTGCTTCAGTCTCAGATTCTAAAATGTACTGAGGCAATTGTGTGGTTTTACCACAACCAGTTTCACCAGACACAACTACCACCTGCAAAATAGATTCAAACACAACCATATCACCTAAGAAATCCTGTACTCTACTAAAAATATGAATAACGTTAACGGGGGGAAGGGAACAATGAGAATGAAGATCTTCATTGACAGAGAAAATATCATCCTACAAACAGAAATTCCCAAATTTAAGTAGCAAATATGTTATCAAAAAGAAAGTGGGACGAAAAAAAGCATCATGAAACATGACACTATACTTATGAGTAGTCATCGACATGCCTCGACATTGACCATAATCCTTCTCTTTAGTTATCGAGCAACATAATACCCACACAACGCAGGGAAATGAAGACTAACAGATGCCAAACTTCCATGATGACCCAATTAGTAGCCATGAGAAATTAAAATACTGAATAAGAATTCTGTGTTGTTGTACTTATTCGAAAAGCAACATGCAGCATATCGAGCGAGCAAAAAGCAATAACCTGATTTCTGGAAATGGCATGTAGCAGTGCCTCTTTTTCTTTATAAGCAGGCAGACTCCTTCGAAACTCTAGCATCTTTTGGCCTTCAGAAGATTCCTGTCATTAAGACAGAAAAGTAATGAATTAATCATGCTTGCAGGAAGCAGATACGCAAGGCAAATTGACATTAAGAAAAAAAAAAAAAAGAAGTAAGATCCTACAGTTTCATTGACTAATTTTTTAATTAGTTACAATACTTTGAGCAATATTTTGGTAGGAACAGGAAAATGCATGACGTCTGAATCTCTTCAGCCATAATTGAATGACAAGGAGTACCATCATGTTTGTGAGAACTACAAAAAAACTTGGACCGAAATCAAGTTCAATGGCACAAAACTATTAGTAATGGGCTTAATTGAGCAAAAAGCTTATTCAACAAATCAACTGATTTGCTTAAAGAAGGATGAAAAGTTGAAAATTTAGAGACAAGGAGTACGAAGTAAAAGTCAATTTTATTACAGCACATAAATTCTAGAAGATATTATTCCTCCAAATTCTAAGGATAATGAAAACCTGCCAATCCTGTTGTCTATTACGCATGTCCAAGCTACGTCGCTTGAGAATTCTCTCAGCAACAACACTTCGTGTAGGGGACTCCTGACACTCTGAAAGATCATCATTAGCTGAAAGCTTGTCACTGCTCCTTGGAAGGGAACTGTGTCCAAAGGTTTCCTTATTCTTGGCCTTTCTAGAAAGGTATGCTTTTAAATAAGTGTCAACTCGACCTACCAACCCAGATGGCAATACCACCTATAAGTATTAAAAATGTGCACATTAAGTACAAGAGATTTAAGGAATGGGGTCAACAGAATCTAAACCTACTTCTGTCTCTGACCTTGCAACAGGAAGCAATCTAAGAAATGGAAGAGTATTGCACCACGACATACCTCCCTCTGTGGTCGCTTGTCATCAAGGTCTGATCTGTAATTAGGCAATGGGACTTTGCTGAAGGCAATTACTTTGGAGTACTGACGACTGCAATAAGATAGCCAAATTACATTGAAAACACAAAGCAGAAAAAGAAAAAAGACAAATTTATTTGTAGGAGAATATTAACATGCCTATATAAGCCCATTCTTGTTGCCAGGACTGAGAGGTGCTCAAAATCTCGTCGATCTTTCCTCTCCCTTGATACCAGTTCTTGTTGATCTTCATTGTGCATAAGCCTGGTAAGCTTCCTCCTCCATTCTTCAATATTGTCAAGGGTTGAAGCACACTGGTGATGAAATACAAAGCATTGGAGGAAAATGTGCTGACAATCCATATGACAAGTACTTTGCTTCTAGGAACATGTTTTTTTTTTCTCTTTCTTTTTCCTTTTTTCTTTTAAGTTCATGGTGAAGCCATAGTGAATAAGATGAAAACATTTTGTCATATGTCATACTAAATCATATAATCATAATAGTCTATTACAAGTAAGCACACCAAATGACTACCATTATACCAGTTCAAATTGCAGTTTTCCTGCCTAAAAGAAGCAGACATTCAACTGAAACACAAATTAATCTCTCCAGTTATTGAGCAGAAATAGCATTGCAGAGAAAATGAGTTGTTCTCGTCAGAAAATATGGAGGCATACAGAAAGAAAACCAAATCAAGCAACTAAAAATGTAGGAGTTTATAGCTTCAAATAAGCTACCATACTCTTAAACTCAAAAAAAAAAAAAAATTTTTTTTGCGTTAACATTAAATGTAAAATAAATGGGACGCTGAGGAAACTTTTCAACTTCAATTTTCTCAAACTGTCTCTTTTCCATGAACATACAAATTCCAATGTTAGATGTCCAATGCTTTAGCAATTACCTTTCGTTTTCCAATTTTATCATTCATGTATAACTTGTATGGCAACTGTTATACCTCTATTTGAAGAGCTTTTTTTGTGTGTGAGTTTAAAGACGACATAGGAGGAGGGTGCAACACTTGAGACACATCCGTCAAAAACATTTTAGAATATCTGCTCCAATTCCAGATAATTAGTCATCAAAAGCTATAACTTTTATCATCTCATATCATCAAGTTCATCATTTTACTGTTTCAAAAACTTCCAATGGCCCAAAAAGAAAAGAAGAACAACATCCAAAATAGCATGTCAATTCCCATAAATATTATAGCTCATTCCTATAGCAACCAAACATACCTAGACCAAATATAACTACATATCAGTAACTAACACATGCCAAATCATCACATGAGGAAGGAAGCTCGAGTTTCCGGACTAAATGAAAAAGTACAGATGAGCCCTTCGAGTCATATTGGCATAAACAAAATTAAAAGGAAGTAAATGTACAAAAAATGCACGGTATAACTAAATTTCGATAAACCCAATTCAGCACAGCTTATGAAAATCTAGAACTCACCATTTCTCTAGACCCATTTCCGCGATCAGACTCGTAATCATCCTCCTCTGAAGCATACTCATCATAAGCAAACCTCCCGTACCCCGCACTCTGCTGATAAAAATAAGGTGGGGGAATTGAAAAAGAAGAAGAATAACCATCTTTCCTAATCCGCTTCACCACAACAGAGCCGGAAGAAGAAGAGCTGGAGGCAGAGCAAGTGCAACTAGTTAAGACCAAGCCAGCCCTGAAGCTGTGGTTTTGAGGCACGAGACGACGGCGCAACAGAATAGGATTTTGAGAATAAAAATGGCACCCACGATTGATTAAGTGGAAAGAAGACATGGGTTTGGTCAGAAGTGGGATGGCCTTGAGTCTTAGACCACGAACTAAAAATGGAGAATAACTAGGCATGGTAAAGTGACTAAACACTCTACAAAGTTTTAATTTTTAAGGGCTGATATTCTTCAGAGTAGTTTCCATTGAGAATTTGAGCTGATTAATATCACTGTTGTGGGTTTTAGGCCCCTTAGGGTTTAAGGGAGGTGGGAGAGGGGGGGATTTGAGGATTGAGGAGGGAAGCAGGTGGTTACAGGCAGTTGTTGGCTGGCTCTGGTGTTGTGACTTGTGAGTGCTGCTGCTATTATACTTTGGGCCTTAGGATTGGGCAGATGAAAACACCAAAATTTGAACTGATGTGTAATCTGCAGGATCACTTGCTGTTCTTACCCATCACTATTACTTCTTTTACATTTGGTTGATGATTTTTAGATTATTTTCCTTCTGGTGGGATGGATGATCATTTGGGTAAAATCCTAAGTAACATTTATTTAGGTTACATCCTACTAACATTTTCCCTATGAATTTCCTAAATGCTCCTCTTTGTTATACGTAACCTGCTTGCCATTGCCAGCTCTAGACTTTAGCCATCGTTTTGGTTCTAAATTGGTACATGGAAAGTTACAACAAAGTGTTGCAATGAAAACGTCTTAGAATAACTTAATTGTACTCGATTTTTGAACAATTCAAAGACTCAGAATTATACAAGTCAATCAAATATCTCGAGACTCAATCAACGAATACGTGAGCTTCCCGTGGGTAGCTCGGCTGAGACCGGTAGTCTGTAGTTACAGTAAGATCTCAGGTTTGATCCCCACGTGCCATCATTACTGGATATCTTTGAAGCGAGCTCTGTTTAACCTGAGGTAATTAGTCTGGATAATTTCGGGATATTCTTCAGATCCGAAAAAAAAAATCAACGAATACGTAAAGTTTTATTGAACTTTTTTTTATAGTATTATAAGAATTTTTATCTTTTTTATATCATAGAATAATAATAATAATTCAAATTTAATTCTAGATTAATCTTATATATATGGTCAAAACTTAAACTTGATTGATATATAAAATTAAAAAATTAATTTTATATATAATAACAATATATACACTAACAAAATTTAATTGTAGAATTAATCTTATATACACCGACCCAGCTCAAATTGAATTATCCAAATTTTTTTTGTCAAGAATTAAGCTTGATTAGGTTAGGAGTCAGGACACACCTTAGCCCAACCCGCCTACACTGCATCATTGCAAGCCCTCAGTTCGGAAATTTCTTGGAGTACCCAAATTGCCCCCCAAACCCCCAAAACGAAATTTTCAATTTCCAGAACCCTCCGCTTCTTTTCCACTCTACACGCTCTCCCCTCTCCCTCGCTGAAGTCTAGGGTTTTTCTCCACTCTTCGATTTTCAGACTCAACAATGGCCGCTCCGGCAGCAGTCGCCTCCGCCCCACGCGCATCCTCATCAAAGACCGATACTTTCGTCGACAACAAGCGAAAAGACGACATCCGAATGGCTAACATCTCCGCCGCCCAATCTGTGGCTGATGCTGTTCGCACAAGCTTAGGCCCCAAGGGCATGGATAAAATGATCTCCACAGCCAACGGCGAAGTAATTATTACCAATGACGGCGCCACCATTCTTAACAAAATGGAAGTCCTTCAACCCGCCGCTAAGTTCCTCGTCGAGCTTTCCAAATCTCAAGATATCGTGGCCGGTGATGGTACTACTACCGTTGTCGTTATTGCAGGAGCACTGTTAAGATCCTGTCTCTCCCTCCTCACATCCGGCATTCACCCAACGATCATCTCCGATGCCCTACATAAAGCTTCAGTGAAAGCTGTTGAGGTCCTCACAGCGATGGCTGTTCCAGTTGAGCTCTCGGACAGCGAATCGCTCGTGAAGTCAGCGAGCACGGCATTGAATTCGAAGGTAGTTTCGCAATATTCCACCCTCTTAGCTCCTTTAGCTGTTGATGCTGTGCTTTCTGTTGTGGACCCTGCTAAACCTGATTTAGTTGATTTGAGGGATATCAAAATTGTCAAGAAACTAGGGGGTACGGTTGATGATACTGAATTGGTGAAAGGCCTAGTTTTTGATAAGAAGGTTAGTCATGCTGCTGGCGGGCCGACTAGAGTTGAAAATGCTAAGATTGCTGTAATACAGTTTCAGATTTCGCCTCCCAAAACTGATATTGAGCAAAGTATTGTGGTCTCAGATTATACCCAGATGGATAGGATTTTGAAGGAAGAGAGGAATTATATTCTGGGGATGATTAAGAAGATTAAGGCAACTGGATGTAATGTCTTGTTGATTCAGAAGAGTATTTTGAGGGATGCAGTGACAGACTTGTCATTGCATTATTTGGCTAAGGCAAAGATTTTGGTGATCAAGGATGTGGAGAGGGATGAGATTGAGTTTATCACCAAGACGTTGAATTGTCTGCCAATGGCTAATATTGAACATTTCAAGGCAGAGAAGTTGGGCTTTGCAGAATTGGTGGAGGAGGTCTCACTTGGAGATGGTGGGAAGCTTGTTAAAATTACGGGGATTAAGGATATGGGAAGAACTACCAGTGTGCTAGTTCGTGGATCAAATCAGTTGGTCATTGATGAGGCTGAGAGGAGCTTGCATGATGCCCTGTGTGTGGTTAGGTGCTTGGTGAACAAGAAGTTTTTGATTGCTGGTGGCGGGGCACCTGAGATTGAACTATCAAGACAGTTGGGTGCTTGGGCAAAGGTATTGCAGGGAATGGAGGGTTACTGTGTGAGATCATTTGCTGAGGCTCTTGAGGTGATTCCTTATACATTGGCTGAAAATGCTGGGTTGAATCCGATTGCTATTGTTACTGAACTGAGGAATAGGCATGCACAGGGTGAAATTAATGCTGGTATCAATGTGAGGAAAGGTCAGATAACTAACATCTTGGAGGAGAATGTGGTACAGCCACTGTTGGTGAGCACTAGTGCAATTACCTTGGCGACAGAGTGTGTGCGGATGATTTTGAAGATTGATGACATTGTTACCGTAAGGTAGAGCTGAACAGACAGTGAATGTGGTCCACGAGAAAGCTGTCTGTGTTTTGGTTACTTCTGCTGATAGTACTAGTGGTTTCATTACTTTTTTTATTTTATGTCTAAAAAGGGATTTTGGGGTCATTTTTGTCAGCTATTGTTGAATCTGACCTCTTTGTTGCTTTAATGATCCTCATGGTTACTGTTTATTATTGTATGCTTAGGATGTATGTTTTTCTTTCATTGGCTGGATGAATTGCTCAAATACAAGCTTGGTGGAATCATTTCAGATTTCATTCTCTTGTTAATTTTACTTTCTTCGACATGATTAATGATTATGACATGGTTGTTTTTCAACTTTTACATGGATACACAAAATTTGTATGTTGTAATGTATTTGTATACAAGTAAGGTATGTGTTACGAGAAGTAGGCTATTTTCTGCAAATGCTACTTGTATGTTATTGTTGTTACGCAAATGACATAGAGTAAGAGCTGAAATATTTTGTTAGTTTCTTCTTAGATAGGTGGAGTTGGGAATAGGATCTTCTAGCCCAGTCATTTGGAATGTTTCTCCTGATTGTCAGATGCTATGGCTTTCAGATTAGTCAGTGAAAGTAGGTACAATTTTTCAAAATTTTGTTTCTAAGTGAAACATTTAAGATCTTTGAAACTTCCACTTGTAAGCATATGTTACATGGAGGCAGGAGGGTGCTTGAGATCTGTTCTTGAAATATATTTTAATTAACATTGTAGAGGCAGAAGTTAGTTAAATTATCTGAAGACTACTTGGTATAGCATATCATCTTGTAATCTGTGTATATGAATGAACATATACACTTTTGACCAAATTTGGATTTCGATCATCATGGTTTATTTTCATGGTGTCATTGCCTGGAAATGAGACTTTGTTAGGTTAGTGTATTGTATGTGTTTCTATGTATGTATGAGGGCAATCTCTGTAATCAGGGGTGTAATTTCACTTCTGCAGGATGTTCACATCTAAGGGTACAACTTTATTAGCCTTTTTATCTGATTGACGTGTTTAGAAGCAAAAGTTATTATAATTTGTTTCAGGAGTCAGTCTTACGAAATTGTTCACATGATTTCTTTCAAAGATATTTTGTTTTCTTCAGCTGCATCAATATTGAAATAAGTGTCAAGATGGTATTTTCAAGTTATAGTGTTGTACTTGTCTACTGTCTAGGATCGATGATTGGGATCACTCTAGATAGTTTGTATATGACCCAGAGCAAGAGTTGTGTCTAGTTTTTGCGGCGGTTTCCCAACTGTAGTTGCTAGATTACTGCAAAATTTTGGTGATATTGATGGTCTGGGGCTAGACCTACAGCTTAAAGGTTGACATAGCCTTTTCTTTCAAAATTTTTGCCACCCTTTTATATACCTCAATATATGACATACGTATTCCTTGACGGATCTGAAATGTATTAATGCTACTGGGACTTGGATATCTGTTATCATCTGTACCAGTAAAAAGTTTGACCAAGATCCTTTTTCTCCCCTTCCTTGAATGTGTTTGCATAAAGCTTAGAAGCACCTTACCATCTGTAAGTCGGTGGATTCTCTTGACCTATCTGAATAAGAATTCTGAACTATGATCAAGTGATGAGACTAACATGGCTTCGGCTATTCGACCGGTGGTAATGGGCGTTATGTGATTGTTGCTATCCGTCGTCCAAAGAAAAATGAAAATTAAAAGAAGCCCACTTGGACTCGAAATTGGATTCTGAGGTCTGATACGGTCTGTTGGCGACTTAGCGGCTAGCGCATGCTATTGATGGAACAAGTGCTTAGAGATTTGGTTTAGGGACTGTTGACTGATATATTATTTCATTAATTATCATACAAAGATATTTGTGTTTGTATGTTCATGCATCGAACAGAGGACAATCAACCATTTCAATTATTTCGGGTTAAGCTAGCATATACTAAACTGTTAGACATCCTTTTTGAAGAATTCGTCAGATTTTTCTTTCATATTTTCCACATTTTTAAACGTCTCCCTTTTGATTTATTGTTATAATTATTGGACTTATATTGGAGCTGTAGACCTCACACTCGATAACTGAAATGAAGCCAAATATGAAGCTAGTTTGATTATTAAAATTAATGATCCATGCATGAATTTAGTTCTTGTAAGGTTTCGCAATGAAACTGCCATTCTATTTTTCATAAGAAAATAATCACTTGAACAAACCCTGTTCTCTGTCATCATGTTAGTTCCTGGTGTTTAGTCTTGCCGGGTAGTTTAAGGATTTGATTGTTGGTCATTGAGAGGAAGAACGAGATTAATGGCTGGAGTAACCTCCTCTTGAGGAGTTGGCCATCACGTCTTATGGAGTGGGAGGTTAAGGGTTTAAAGCTTATTTTTCATCAAAAAGTTGTCACTTAATGTGGTTTCTTTAAAATTCATATAGGTGTTTAATGCATCCGTATGGTTCGATAGTAGTTCAGTCTCCGTCGATTTTTCGCGGTCCTGTTGGATCACTCCTCTAGTATAGGTTAAAGTATGACTAGGAGTAGGCGTAATTGTAGACGGTGACAATAGACCAAAAAAAAAAAAAAAAAAAAGTAACCATGAAAACAAGAACGATCAACCTTCAGACAAATAGTAAACTATGTACAAATCCAATCCAATCACATTCAACTTTAAAATAATTGAAATTTCTTTAATTCAAGAAGGTACAAATACAGATGTCTTCTGCAAGACATCAAGGAATAAGTAAATTTTGCAAGTATATATTTCGAGAACGAATTTTACTTCAGTAGCTTGATTTATACAGGGCAAACCAGCTAAATCAGACAATTTAATTGCAGTCTTCAGTCAATGGGATATCTCTCAATTTTCGAAGACAAAGGGGAATACGAGAACACAATGATCGCCTTAAGCTCTGTTCATTGCACTTGCACGCTTAACCAAGTCAGGTTGATCATTTTGAAAATTATTATTACTAATTCGGTAGGTCAAAGAATCCACTGAGAGTTACATGTTGAGATGCTGCTACTTTTTCACTGACCATATGGATATTTCCTTCCAATATCATGATCAATAATATTCATGTCCAGCAACATCCTTTGGTTATTGTAAACCTCTATGGAGTCGATATCCTATGGAATGTCAGATTGAGCAACGGGATTTTTGGATTTATTGCTGTCATCAAGAAGATGTTTTGTCAATGTCTCGTTAGCATCTTTGTTTTCTTGTTTCTTCTCTTCAGTTTTCCCCCACAATACTAAGTACAGTCCAACGACAATAAGAGCTGCTCCAACAATCCTGCAGAGAAGTCGAAAAAAGTAAAGAATTTGGAGATACAGAAGGAGTTTGTAGAATCTGGAGATACATATTGGAATGCAGAAGTTGCATTTTGTTTTCCTTTTCGCAAAGTCTTTGACGTACCCTCCGGTGTAAAACTGATCCCCAAGAATCACATATGCCATAAGAGCTACTAATACTGTTTGAACTGGTTGGAAGATGGCTACGAAGACTGGACCTCCTTTTTGAATACACCAAGTTTGAAGAGAGATCACGATCCCCGAAGACACAATTCCCTAAAGTAACAAGTATAGGAGGTTAATTAGGTTGTATGATTGATGAAGGTTTTACATCAAGCTCCTAGGATGGAGAACAGTGAGTATGAAACAGTACTTAAGTCATTTGATTTGAAACATTACAGCATAAAGGATAGTGAAAATCTCCTCCCCTGACTGGATTTGCCAGTGATTGGGATCCCTTTCTGCAAAAGCTGCTATGATCAGAAATTGGATCAATCCGAAGAAGCATGTAAATGAGATCAGTGACAACTTTGCTGGATACTTCTTAACAATTGGAGCCTGAAAAACAGTTCAAGTAGCAATTAATAAGGCTAGATGCTGATGACATAGAATGTCAGACTCTTTTTTTTTTTTTTTTACGAAAAAGCTTGGGTGGGTTTGACTTCGGTCACTACCACGGGTCAGTGCATGCCTATAAGTCGCTTATAGAAATTTTTATAGATAGCCCACCAACATAATTCTCATATCGATAACGAGATTCGAACACATGACCTTTTTATGAATAAGTGGCCCGTCCTTACGAACTGAGCCAACTTGTGTTGGCATCAAACTAAATTTCTACAACTAAGGATGTTCCTCCAATTCAGGATTGAGCAACCATATTGTTCACTGATTTATCTTAAGCTGACAAAATGACTAGTAATGATCATTTGACTGTGAAATCTGAATATCTAATGCCTCTTCAACAATCAGTAGCATTCTAGTAAGGTATTCCCATGATTAGATAAAAGACTTTCCCGTGATTCAAATTCATCCGCGTTTGAATTCTCTCAATACGTCGATTTATGTGACATAGTGTTCAAGTGTATCAACAGCAAGCACATGATTGTAAGTGTAACATTAGTATGAACTGCAGAATGAAGCAATTTATTGAGTTTTAGGCACACCTGAACCACCATCCAGCCAGCCCAAGATAAGCAGTGGCCGAGAAGGCAGACACAGCCCCATGTCCAATTCTGCTTTTTCATTGAAGAGAAAAGCATGTCCTCTTCTAACGATTTGCTTTCCGGGCTGTGGTGGAGAAGGGGAGGACCTTTGTAAAGGGTTATGATTGTAGCACCACTTACACTTGCTATGGTCCCCAGAATCTTAGCTAAACCATCCCTCCTCGCAACATTAACTTGCTCGAGTCTGAATGGAGATCCAATTTGTTAGAATTTGTATTTGAAACTCTGTGCACTCAGAGAACATGAAAAGTAATCTTGCTTACCCCAGAGCAGATGCCATGACAAATGTAATCGCTGGAACTGAATTTTGCATAGCGGAAGCAAAGGTTGGAGATGCATAGTACAAACCTAGGATATAAAATCCTTGGTTTGCTGTGATCCTGAAGGAGAAACGTCAAATGATCAAAGACTCAAGAAAGCCACAAATCGACTTTAGTTGCACTTTGCTTGATACTTCACATTAGTGTAATACTTACCCCACTAATGCTAGGAGGAAAAACTCAACCAGCAAGGAGAAAGTAAGAGGTGGTCTATCTTTCCTGTGAAAGGGAAACAGAAAGCACAGTTATGAGCAACCTGGAACAAGAAAAATCGAACTATCAAGTGAACTCTCTTTTCAAAAAGAGATATCAAATGACAAACTGTGTTAGGACACTTGAAGTCTCACTTTTCCATAAAATAAGCAAAGGGTCCTAGTAGAAGCAAGGCAATGATATTCCTATAAACTGGGTATACAATTTTGCTGACACCAATATTAAGTGCAACTCTAGAGACAATGTGAAATCCTGCAAAGCACAGCTGCAAAATGAGCAGTGCAATAAGCAGCTTCATTTTCTCAGATGAAGGGCTTCCTTGTCCCATATCTTCTTTTCTCTTTTGTTTCTGTATAGGGTGTTAAATCGTAAAGTACTGCGAGGACAAACGGACTAGTGCTAGATATATACATGCATGATGGAGGCTAAACGTACAGCCTCACTATCATATGCTGATTAATCATTTAGAGTTATTATAAGATGTAAATGGTATCCAAATAATGCACAATGTGCATTGATTGTAGGGATACATATTTAAATGTATGTTTCTATTATGGCTTGCACATAATCTTTTGATTATGGAGATTTTGCTTTATCTAAATCTCATTGGATTATTGACTGAAAACTGAACTTTGTTAAGGAGACAATGAAGAGGTGGAACGTGTTGGCAAGTTAGTTGAAGACTTGAATGGGGAGCCTGACCTTTTAATACATTGACCATAACTCCATTTTTATTTTCTTTCATTTATTGTGAGCTTGACAAAGTTAATCGAAACTGAAACAGTTTAGGTCTTCGAGCTTAGTAAGTAAAAATGCAAAATAGTTTACTTTGTACCGCATAAATGAGTTGATTTTATAGAATCAGTCATACATGATTAAGCACATATAATTTTATTTCACTGAATTTAGCTGCAAATGATTAAATATGAGGATGAGAACTTAATTGATGTCAATTTGTCTATTTTACGGTATTAGTAGCTAGTACTTGTTAATTGGTTGATGACCGGAAAAATCAAGATGAAAGAATCCTTCCTCTTTCAATTTGGCAACTGCAACTTTGTAAAACGGTGGATAGATACTCGGATCAGTTGGCCAAGACCCCATAAGAGAACAAGAATTAATGCATGTAACTGCATTTAGACGTCCAATTTTAAGGCTACGCTTTTTAACGTAAGATATATTCTGCTTGGGAACAAATACATCGTATCTTTAAAATGTTAGAACCTCTGTACATAAAATATGTGTTCTGCTGCTTCTGCAGGGGGTGGCTCCCCCAAAGCCACGACTAGAGTGACAACCCATGTTATGCAAATCATTGAATTTTCCAAACAGGTTCGATGTTTATTCAGTTGTTTTGTGGATCATCATGAACCAGACAAAAGTTCATATGGTGGGACTAGGGATGTACGCGAGCCGAGCTACTCGCGAGTAGCTCGGTCAACGACTCGGCTCGAACTCGGGTTGACCAAGTTCGAGCCGAGTTTCGAGTAACTCGAATGAAAATCGAGTCGAGTTTCGAGTCGAAATAGCCCAGCTCGAGTCGAGTCGAGTAGCTCGACGAGCCGGAGTTATTTAAATAATATATTTATAATTTAAATAATATATATGTATTATAATTATAAAATGACCATTATGGGTATAAGTTATATGAAATTTACAATATATCCTTCTTTATAATAAAATCCTATAATGGCAAAAAAGTAATAACATAATTGTAAAAAGACCTAAAATGAAAAAAATTTTCAAACCTCGAGTATCGAGTCAAGCCTCGAGCCTAAAGGAAATTTTTCGAGTCGAGTCTCGAGTATCGATTTTTTGGGCTCGCTCGAGCTCGAGTCAAGCTCGAGCTTTGGTGTATATGAGTCGAGTCGAGCTCGAGTATAGCAATACTCGAGCTCGACTCGGCTCGATTAATCGAGCTCGAGCTTTGGTGTATATGAGTCGAGTCGAGCTCGAGTATTGCTATACTCGAGCTCGACTCGGCTCATATACACCCCTAGGTGGGACTGTGCCCAAGGGAGAATATTCTTCTTGTTTCCACATTGCAGTCTTGCCAAAACCCCCGAATTTAACGAGGATTGCTTTTCTGCTTTTGTTTTACCTTGGAAGCCTTTGAAAGAGGATTCATGAATAAGGTTAAAAAAATCTCTTTCTGCGCTCGATTGGGATCTCCCCTTATCATCTTGATGTGAAGCGAACAACTTGATGGAAAAGTTTGGTTTTGGTGGATTCAGTACAGCAATACAATTGCCTCGGCTCTGCTTCAAATCAGAACTAACATGCACAGCCATTTAGCATCACCGACAAGTGACAACCCATCTGCTTCTTTTTCTTTTGTATTCTTGCCTGTATATCTGAGTATTTTTGCATTATTTTACCTCATTATTCCCATGCTCATCACCGTGGAAGTCCTTGTTTTGCTACTCTTTTGCACATCTTGCATCCAAAGGAAACTAAATGCAAGCAGAATACGGGTGAAAAAAACGTAACAGTAAACTTGAAATTGTAGTACAAAACTCTTTCTCACAGGCAAAGTTTTCCCCTTCTCAATGGAATGGCACATTAAACAGAAAGATATCGTACAACCATGCTTACAGTACAAGATCAAGGAAAAAACAGAAAAAAGCTATGTTGTCAAACTGAGCTGAGCAAAGAGGACAGAACTACTCCTCTACAAGTAGCACCTCAGTTGCACATTTCTAACAGTTATAGCTAGCTAATTTTTCCTAAAAACGATAACAATTGCAGTGCAATTGTCTTTGCACCGGCGCTCACGGACTGCTTCACGAACTAGGTGGCGGCTCACCACTGCAACAGGTAAACCATCCTGCCAGAAGAGTACAAAGGTTGAACACGCTGCAATCCTAAAGCCTTCAAATTCTCTCACATGTATAAACTTTTAAAGAAATATATTCCACACTACATATTTTACAATAATTCAGAAATCAAAATGTGTGTTCAGATAGGAGATTATTTGGGATGTTTTTAGAATAGGTAGTGTAATACTTTTTGTGATGTGAAAGGTGGTTGGAAAGATAAAGAGGTGACCGAAAAACACAGTTGTCACGCAACCAAAAATTTTTTCCAAACACACAACTCTTAACACCTTATGAACTATCTTCATAGTTTATGTGCATTGAGCAGGAAAGAGTCTAGACTATTAACATGAGCAGGGATACAACGTTGGGAAACGGGGAAAGAGCAACTGAAGAATTAACTACTGCCAGATGGCAACTTTTATAACAGCTCACATCCTTGTCACAGATAGATACAACTCTAAGTGCACCACTAATTGGACATTTAATCGTAATGAAATGCTCGTTAGCCAAAAGCTCATCGGTAGTACATTATATTGATAACACAGGTAAGCAGCAATGATACAAGTTCAAGGCAGAACAAATAAAACCAATATGTACAAGTTTCAAACCTGTAACAACTTGCGGACAAATTCAACAGCATCACTAGGTCCAAATACCTAATGATAGAAAATAGTATCAATAATGTATGCCATTAATTTGAACCAGGAACCTGGAGGAACTGATAAAGGAAAGTTTCTAATACACATACTCCCCACAAGCCATCACATCCAAGAATGATGAAGTGGTCTCTCTCTGTAAGGTCAAATGAATGAATATCAGGGGTTGCAACCACACCAACCTGCATGGTAAGGCAACTAAATATCATAAGTGCCAACAACCTACATAAAACAAAAAAAAGATACACCTTGTAATCCTTCAACATCACAGTTATCCAAAACAAAAATCACCTAATCACAGAAACTCCACCTGGATTTAACCACCATTTAACAGGAATTTAAAAGAAAAAAAAGAGTAAAAAAGAAAAGATGCACAAACACACACACACACACACAGAGGACTCAAAATTGCACGTCCCATGGCAAAGAGAAGTGATAAAACAAAAACAGGAAAACTCCCTTCCTCATTCATCAAGAAATCCCCCATTAATAACTTAATTGAAAACATGCTTATGTTTGCCAACCTTTCCACTACTTCCTGGCAATCAAATTACCAGCACAACAAAAAGTTAATAGCCCCAGAGAAACGCTTCAATCTTTGGAACAACAGAATCTTAAAATATCAAGTTTTGATGAGTTCAAACATGCAGAACATATGGACAAAAAGAAGGCTTGCATATAGAAAATATAATATCAACTTCCTTGATATGAATGCACTTTTGAAGGCAAGAAACAGAACAGATCAAATGTAGGTGCAAAAGAAAGTTGTCCAGGAGGCAAGCAGTAGCAGTAAAAACCTTCTTGAATTGCCGATCTCCAAAAGCTCTAGAAACTTCAAGTCGCCCTTGTAGACGTCCATTTGAACTTACAGTACCGCCAGCCTAAAGAGCATGGATATTCATGAGGAGAAACTTTCGATATTCACAATGTTGATATGATCTGGGTTAATCCAAGAGGCCAAAATAATTTTAAAAAATTTAAAAAAAAACTCAAGCATAGGTGATCCAACTCTTCTAGGATACCATCTACTTGACCCAGCAAATGCAGCTTTTGATGACTTGAAGCCATCTAAAACCGTCAGTTTCTCCTAGCATCAACATTAACTATTTTGGCAAAGCTCATTCAAATTATGGAATTTGCCAACACATGCATTCAGTTTTACTAATTTTATTTAGCAAATTAACCAAAAAGATAAAAGCACAATACCCTGTTGAACTGAAGTTCTAAGAAAGTTCCAAATACTACAACTACCCAACAACTCACCATATCATTTTTTTTGTTTTTTTTTTTTTTGTTGGGGGGGGGGGGGGGGATTTAACAAATATACCTTTTGGATGCGTGCTCGTTCTTGTGGGTATATGGCTTTATGTTCCCTGGTCAACACAATGGCCTTTAATGAGTCTGTAGTTGTAGAGTTGTGTTGCGATCCATCCACAACAGTTGATCGGGCTATCACTGCCTTTGCATCGCCAATATTAGCAACAAACACCTACAAATATTTTGTGCTGTTATAGAATTGCAGCTGATAGGGGGGAAAAAGGATCAACATCTTTTAATCCAGGGGTGGGGGGAGATTAAAACTGGAGAAGGGGAAACAAAATTCTTTTTTTTTTTTTATCTCTGGCTTCATAAATCTTTCCATGTGCTAATTTACAAATTACTTTTAAGCATTAATGTGCCATCTTAGTTTCTTTTTTCTCATATGAAACTGTCCCTTATATTTCCTCTTCCTGCCAGGTAAATCTTCAAACAAAAAGAAAATGTAAAAGTTCTTAAAGAAGTTAAAGAAAATCAAAGTAATAAAGTACTTTAAAGAAAGTTTACAAGCCTAGAAGATCTCTGGTCTATTGTATATGGAAAGTACCATGGATCACTGCATACACAAACAGGATGGAAAAGGGCAGAGAATAAGTCTAAGAACATTCACATAGAATCAAAGAGTTTCCAATTTCCAAAGTGACATCTAGGTAAAAGCTCTTGATGGGGTACATCCCCCAACTACTGACTTGATTTGACACAGTTAACAGAGACGATAAAGACATACTGTTTGGCCTAAGACCCAAACGCATACGGCTGTAGCACCATCTTGCCATCCTCCTGTCAAGCGTGTATAATACCACATCAAATGCAGCTTAATCACTGGTAGCAGTTTATCTAGTGAATTTGCAATGTCATGAAAACTATGCAAGGCATATAAAAGGATTCAAAAAAGGAACATAATTTAGTAACTAAAAGCACACATAGGATGTAAAAATGTTGGCACCACATGATCTCAATCTCATATTTCAAGGATGCAAAATGTAAATGTAATAATCCGTAATAAAGCACAAGAAAAATGGGATAATGAATCAAAAGATGATTCAACATCCCAAATGGATGTAGCACCAAGGCTATCCCAACCAAGAAGCTGGAAACTGTGACCATGCGAATTACAAAGAATTTTCCATAAATGCATTATAAGTCCAAGTGGAAAGTGAACATCAACAATGCATCAAATGTCACACCAAATCAATTAAGCCCTTAGTAATCCTCAATCCTGAAATAATGTTACTGGGTTGCTGTATCCAAGTACAAGTTGGTAATCATAGTTGCAGCAGTACCCTCTTCTCCTCAATTCATAAAATGCTTAGTCTACAGAGATCACAGAGTCCGTAGGTGAGAAGATAATTAACAGGATTACCTGCAGTGCTTTCTTGAAGAAGAGACTCGTCAGTTTTTCGAAACCCTGTCTCCCAGAAAAGCAAAAAGCCAGAAAGCAATAATTTAATATGTGCAATGTAGTCTAAAGAACTGGCAAATTTTTAACTTGGACATTCAACAAAGGTCCTGAAACAGGAAAAGAAAGAAAAGCCCACCTTCAAGTATTGCTTTCTTCGCAGCTTTAACATCCAACTGTAACGTTCAACCAAAAAGGAAGAAACAAAAAACCAATTATCAACCAAGACAGCATATTATCAAACAAAGAAAACCAAAAACTAAAGGAAGGACTAAGTAAGGTGAACATATATAAGACCAAAGCAAAACAGACCAACTCACGTGGTAAGCCAGCTGAAAGAACATTTCTATGTAAATTCTTCTTCGCATATTCCGCCGCTAGTCGACCTCCATGTCCATCATATATCGCAAAATGGGCACACCTACCAATTTTTTAGATTTCACAGAAAGAAGAAGAAAGATTCAATCTTTAAAAACAGGGAAGAAACAACACTTACGCATTATCAAAAAAGACCCAAGAACAAGAATAAAAACCTTAGTTTCCCAGGAAAATCCAAGCTGGCATCCTGAAGAACAACCCAAGCATCTTCCATAGTATGCCTCGAACCTTTATCTTCAGCTGCATCAGCTTCTACAGCAAAAGACAACCTCCTTTCTTCAACATTCTTGTCTTTATGTTCATTCTCCTGTGATGAATCAGCGTTTTCGTTACTACTAACATTGTTACTATTATTATTGGCCTCCGAAGTCTGTTTCTCTTCTGCTAAAGTTCTGGGCTTTTTCGAGGCTGAGACTAACTCGGGTAACTCGGCTTCACGTTTGCTATTCACATCAGGGCTGGTTGTCGTTTTTGAATCGTCCACCATTTCTGATTGTATACGAGCAAAGAGCGGGGACAGCTTTGAAGAAAGTATAAACCCTAACTTTTGTGGTAGAAGAAGGAGATAATGACGTCAGGACTCGGAAGTGACAGAGAAGTGAGATTTGAGAAGAAGTACCACAATGGATCAACTTCGCGGGACAGGTCAACTAACTTTTTAGTTTTTATACTACACTCCCCTCGAATTCCCTTTTCTCCGCAATAAAGGTCACAGAAAAGGA